ATGAGCAGGCCGTTCGAACGGGCTGATGTTTCCGACGAACGGGTGAACAAGCCGTTCGAACGGGCTGATGATTTCGACGAACGGATGACCGAGACCGTTCAGACGGATGCAATTTTTTTCTAGACGGCTGACAAACGGCTTGTAAACGGAAAGCCGTTAGTGAACGTTTTTCCGTGAGAGGTCACAAATATTCTGCTAAATAAATGTAAACTTGAAAAGAAGGCATCGAAATATCGAAATGACTTGAAACACTAACAAGAAGCTGGCCCACCGCAATGCTTAAACTGATAAAACAAATATTACACTGCAAACTACAGTGTATTTACATGTGCATGTGGATTATAAGTTCAACCTGTGAATACTGTGCACCTTGAACATAACACAGCAACGATACTCTGAAAGTTAATTTGAAAGGTGAATTAACTTACCACAGGCAAATAAAATGCTCAATAAAGGTAAACTTAAAAAGAAGCCATCGAAATATCGAAATAACTTGGAACACTAACAAGAAGCTGGTCCACCACGATGCTTAAACGGATGAAAGAAATATTACACTGCAAACTGAGGTGTTTTTACATGTGCATGTGAATTATAAGTTCAACCTGTGAATACTCTGCACCTTAAACATAACACAGAAGCGATACTCTGCAAGTTCATTTCAAAGGTGAATTAACTTACCACAGGCAAATAAAATGTTGAAGAAAATCATATTGATCTTGTTCGTTGTAGAAGGCTGCTATCTGCTGAGAGTCAGACCCTAAATAACGCTTTGAGTCGCGTCACACGTGAGATCCTTGTATAATGCGCAAGCGTTTGTGGGATGGTCAGGTGGCTAACATCACATAAAATTCGTGGAAGATACTAAACGGCAGATATTTTCTTTTAATGTTGGAGTAAACTGTTTTGGAGAGAGATCACTTTTTCGCCATGGAGGAATATAAATGGATTTTGTCCATGTTGATGCGTACTCAGTTGCTGCACCGTTAATGATCACCGAATGGATCATGGGAGAAACTGTGTAAAGCCAACAAAGTAGAAACGTTCCCAATTTTCCCGACAGCCAATCTGGAATCTCTACGATTTCAAGGTTTTATTTGTCAGAAAATCTGGGAAGATTGAGAAACAGTGAAATTGCCGATTGTCTACGGTTTTCTTGACATACGAAAACCACGCTTTACAACTCATAACCTGAGAGTTATGAGGTCATTTAGTAAGCAGCAAGATCAATAAAGTTACTGCATGCCAGGATCTGAGATACGACCTCAAAGCTCCAGAGTGACGTTTCATAAACTGCTTAACGAAAGCTAAACATTTGAACAACAAAAGACAAGGATGTTGCCGTTTAATGAAATTAAAGAGACTATATGGAAACCTTTAAGAATAAACACTAGCGAGAAAAACACACAACGTTTCGATGACTCCATGTCATCATTCTCAAGTGAGAAGAGAATAAAAATGAATAGTTAATTTATACCGTACGAAGGTGGCAAACGTAAAAAGTTTAAAATATTTAAAATATTTAAATAAATAATTGCGCGTGTTGAGTTCATAAATGTAAACTATTAAATAAATAGTTTCGCGCGTATGGAATCCGATTGTTTGTTCAAAGAGGGCTTCATCTTCTTTATGAAAAGCATTTCATGAACTAAACAGTCCAGTTTCCCGGTGCACTTTTTAAGTACGTTGAAATGCTTGGTCAGGTCGCCGATGGTTTGTAGGCCGTGGTCGTTCTTTAGATGTTTGCCGATGGCCGAATTACGGTGCTCATTAATACGTTGATGTAAATGCCGGCTGGTGTACCCAACGTACTCTGCATCACACAGATCACATTTATAATTATATACAACGCATTGTTGGCTAACTATAGGAGTCAGCAATGATTTCATAAAATCATGGAGAGTATCTAAGGATAAAAACAGAGAAACCACACACCAATGTATGCTGCCATGGATGTGCCCAAGAAGTGCAAGAAAACAAAGAACTTTTTGAGGACTTGATGTCTCATGTATTTTTTTCACCTTTTTTTAACTACTTATGGTGTAAAAAGTTGTGTTTCCTTGTAACAGCTTAAGTAAAAATCAATGAGTTAACTGGTTAATGATCATATATATCCAATGCCTGTCAACTTAATAAATAGAAATAAGAGGCAAATGCTGCTTGTCAGCTCCACCTAAGGTGTGGAAGTTAAGTAATACCCCATTCACACCAGCAAAACAGTTTTAGTTGAGTCAGTTTTGACCTAATATAAATTAGCAATAAAAAACTGAAAGACTAAATGGTACAAAGGGTTCAAGCAGTCACTAACATTTATTTTCATTGTGTTATTTGAAGTCAACAAACATCATTTTATGAGAAAAATTTAGAACAATGTTTGACAAAACAGCTTTAAAACATTTTAGAATTGGTGTGATTGAGGAGTCAGTCACACTTTGTTAGTGTTAAATGCAGCGAAGGAAAAGCTTTGATGGTTGAATAGAGGCAGGATAAACAGCTTATTGTTTGATCAGGACCTGTTATTTTGAATACATCCTACTTACCACATATAATGACCTTTGAAGCATACCATCAGTAACCATACCACCACTGGTAGGGTGAAAACTACCACTGGTAGGGTTAAATGTTACCACATTAGTATGGTTAAGATGATTTTTTGGACTTGAGGTTGAATTCACTTCTTTCGTGTTGTGAGAACTTGTGGGTGTAGAAAGTGTGGTTTCAATAGTTTCATTTCTCCCCAAGGATTTCGATGTAGATGTGTTGCTGATGTTCTGAGCCTTAACTTCTGTGTCAAGACAAGAAGAAACAATGGTCATGTCTTGCTTACAGGAATTATTTTCATTTAAAAGTATACCTGTTAGTTATTTCGCTGACAAGAGATGCAATGGTCATTACAAAGAATGGATGTGATATTTCTCTATATTGTAAACAATTTATTTACACAAAATTCGTAAATTGTTTGATCCTTCAAGTGAACTTCGATCAGATTCTAAAGCATACATTTTAAAACTACCAAGAACACAAGAATTTGATTTTTGTGCATATTAATGATGGGTGATTGTTTCTTTTCAATAGGCCATTTTACAGTTGTGTACTTAGTTGTGTACTTAGTTGTGTACTTAGTTGTGTACTTAGCCTTTGATTCAAAGTAAGGCTGAAGGTGACCTTGTTGTGATAGAGACCTGTATCTAGTTAGCATGATAACAAAGTGACTCACATTTGAAAGGCAGCAAGCTTTGTATCATAACAAGGTCACCCCTAGCCTCACTCCCTTTCAAAGGCTTGGCAACCAAGCACACAACTGTAAAATGGACTATTCAGTCACCATTTGCGATTGTGAAAATGCGAAATACAAGATAAGAAGTACAAGTACTGACAGGCTTAGTGTTGCTCAAATAGATCACGAGTGTGGATGGAAGCAAAAAGGCATTCAAAAAACTAGTGTTTGAGCCTAAACTAACATAATTAAAAGCAACTAAACAAGCAACTGATCAAAAACCTTAGGCAGTATTTCTGCGGACATGATGATAAAACGAAACTTTTATTTTCATGCAAGTGTTGAACCCGGCTTTATAAAAGCAATCAGAGTTAAAAATCTCCTAAAATCACTGATACTTTATATGATATGCACGTGTTTCAGCTTGTTATCGAAAGCAACTTAACATTTGACGTAAACTGTGCACGAAGAACGAACTATTATTAATTATTTTATTTTACACTGAAAGGGCCATTATTACATTCGATGTCAACCGAAAAATTCTTGTTTTTTGATGATGCAAATATAAAAATTAAAACAGCTTAGGGCGTTTTTAACACTAAACTAATTACAAATACTAAAAACACGTTTATTATTTTTCCAAACGTTTGTGCTTGATAGCGTTTTAATTATTCAAATTTACGAGAAATTCAAACGACGTGTCATGGCAAGTGCAGTACCGGTCAAATTGATTTTACACAAATAAAATCGCGTTAAAATTATACGCACCTTGCAATTCTGAGAGAGCTAAAAAGACGCAAACGGCGAAGATCACCAACTTCATCAAGACGTTCATTTTACAGACACTAGTATGTTAAAGCGAGATAAACTGTCGTGTCTTTGAAGTCATAAGACATAAGGAAAGCGCTCGATTTAGACGAAACATGTAAATTTGTTGGGAATACTATGTAACCACGCCTCATGTTAATAAGAACTAGTGCTTACAAAGATCTCGTGGATTTTATAGGCCAACACTTTTTGTTTTTAGATATTTGTTTTCTTCTTTTTTTCCTTTCAACTACAGGTGTGTTGAGATCTATTTCGTGGTATAAATGTAAGTTGATAATTCAAACGAGGCTTTAGATTTCATTTCAAGGAGCAAGGAACATCCTTCGGAGGAACTTTATCAGTATCTTCGAAGCAGGTCCCTCTTCACCCTCTCTATGTTCAAATAAGGACACTTCCGGCTTTTTTCCGCTTTTTAAGGCTGGAAAGAGAAAACCTTTGGAGTAGGGAGCTGAATAAAGATTATCATTATCATGGATTATCATGGGGTTTACCTTGAGCAGCTTTTAAACACTTATATCTTTGATTCGTAGCCTTTCTGATTTCGGTATTGTTCCAGGGAAGTGACTTGTGTCTGACCTTCACATTCCTTCGTTTGATGTTGGACTCTATAATGTCTTTAAACATGGTTTCCCATAAGTAAACACTGTCCTCAACATCCTCTACAGCAGATACAATATGCCATGGAGCTTCTTCTAAGGTACTCTGGAGTTTTTCATTATCCATATCCTTATAGTTCCTTACTGTAATAAGCTTAGGCTTTGAATTACTCCTCCTTGTAGAAAAAGCAGCAAATATAAGATGACGGTCTGAAATGCCTAGGTCAATAGAACCAGCTAAAACATTTGATGCCTGCAAATTAGGGCTAACAATAATGAGGTCGATAAGTGACTTAGAGCTAGCTGTGATGCGCGTTGGTGATTCAATGACGTTAAAGTAACCAAAACGCCTAAGAATTCTTTTCATTCTATTACAGTCATATCACGCATCTTGATCTGTATCTGCCGCATTAGCTAAGAGATTACAGTTAAAATCACCTAATAATATGACATTCTTCCTCTTGACCCATATTTTACTAAGCAGGTCATGTAAGTCATCATAAAACGTGATTGATTTAGGTGGTCGGTATAGGCAGCCAAGTAAAGTAGACTGTGATCTTATGGTAATGTTAATTCATTCAGCCTCCAAGTCCTGATGAATGTCCCACTTTAGGTTTTCAAAAATGTTTAAATTGTCGCGATAATATGTTACCACGCCACCGCCTTTCAAGCCATTTAATCTATCTCTTCTCACCATGTTATAACCATATATTCTTATTAATTCATTTGATATGTCTACGGTCAGGTAGGTCTCAGTAATGCCCAGGATGTCGAATTCAACCTCTTTTAATAGGAATTGAATTTCAGACAATTTATTAGCAAGACCATTGATATTTATGTGTCCTATCTTTAAGTTCTTATTGTTGCCCATCGTAGTCTTTAGCGTAGTGAAAACATCTTCGTCAGGTTCAGACACCTCGTCATCGTCAAGGTTTGAGTCAAAAGAACTGGCATCGGCAAAGGGAAGAGCCCTCAGTTCACAGAAAGGGCAGTTCCAGTAGAAATGATCGAGGAGTTGAAGTTTGTTGCATTCACTTGGCCTAACTCTTCCACACTTTATGTGGCACCAACGGAGAAAGTTATCGCATTCTATTGCACGGTGAGTTTGGTAAGAGCAAAAGTGATAAAATTGGTCCCCTACAAGATTCTAATAGCACTATTATTTCAGATGATAGGCAGAAAGCAAATTTGATTAATAACTATTTTATTGATATTGCACATGATCTTACTAAGAACTTGGATCCAGTACATTTAGATACTACTTTTTATATTAATAGAATTACTCCCACTATAGAGAATTTTTCTTTGAATTGGGATATAGTTAGAGATGTTTTAAAGTCTATTAATCCAAACAAAGCAGTAGGCCCTGATA